TCTTCAAGCAGAGACTCGACAAAATCTTGGCACACCTCACATTCGTACACTAAAGGCAAACGGGATTCACTGTAGCCTACATTCTCTATCTCCTACCCGGATCCCTATGTGACTTCTTTTTTGATGTGTAACGATTCATCTATGTAAACATCCTATGGGACAAGAGAAGCACCAGCTTGTAAGCTATTCCCATAATAAAACTTTGACTTTGACTTTAGTTCGTCAGAGGCACTAAAGGATACAGTAATAAACGGACCACAGCGACGTTTTTTTTATCATTTCTTATCGGGTTAGAATACTTGATAGTGTGCGCATTTAGACTGTGTAATAGAGGTTCACTTTCTTTCCCTCTTACTGAATGTAGACCGGATTACCGTCCACTTTACATATCCGCATAAATTTGTATGCAATATGAGTCTGCCAGCAGTTTGCCATTTTCACTCTGCTATATTTTGCGTGGCAGCACCTTATTATGTTAAATTAAATCTGGTTGCATGCAGCAATTTTATAGTAAAACTGGCGATTCAAGAACGGAATGGAAAATGATTGTAGTGAAGGCACGGGTGCAGCCATTTTGGATTGAGTGTGAGAGTGGTGTGCGTGTCTCAATAGACCTTTTGGTTCATGGTTGATTTTTGTAGGCTCCCTGTTTTGCAGGTTGCTTGGAAATCCCCCTTCCACAGAGAATCCGTTTGTCATTAAGATCAACTTCTACTTGTGCACTAAGAGCGTATGTGCTAGACCGGGTTTACGAGTTGCTTCCACACTCCCAAAAGATTTGTTTGTGGTATCCTGATAGTGCGATTGAAACCAAAATCTCGGATCGTGATTGTTTTCACAACCAAAAATCATGCACTTTCGTGCGCCGGTTTAGGTTGCTGTCTTTTGGTCCACATGGATAGAAAAATAGAATGAAGATTGAAATCTTGTGAATCGTAATACTCGAAGTTGACCACCTACCAGTGTTTTGAGTGGATTCAGAGCTGTTTCGATTCTGAATACCACACTATACACTGCTTAATTCATGGAAGATTGCAATTCCCCTAGCATGTATCGAGGCAAAAACTTGTAAAACAGCTCAGAAATATGAGATAAAGCATTTAATAAGTCACATACTGATCAAACTTAAGAATTAAATCTTTCGCCAGTCCAGGATTGCAGTTACATAACGTTTGGGTGCGTGCAAATGTGTCCATGTGTTTCCTTGAATGATAGAGCTTGTTTCAATAGTCCAAGATGGATCTGCACTTGTGACTGATTCAATGTGAAACATTGTACTTCTATTGTCACAATCTGCGATCACAGTATGAATGAATAAGAATGGAAGCAAGTCGGACAGTTTCTGTTCTGTGAAAAGACAATTTTGACAAACAAACTGTATCGCACAGATCCGACCATCTCACTGTGCATGCATTTTTCACTGAATGAACGCACTGTTTCCTAGAAGAATGCGAGCGAGGGAAGCTGGGAATTGATTGGTTGTGGGGAGTCAGGGGGTGGGGTGGGGATGGGGCGGCNTGACACGTAAAAGATGATAAAAGAGGGATCAGGATGGGAATAAAGCTATAAGAAAGCAATACAGAGTTCAATTTTATAATGACTCGATTGCGGAATACGAATAGCACAGAGAGAGAGGATTAAATGTTTGGAATTATTTCAAAGATTGACAACTATGTAATTGAAAATAAGAAAAAAATAATGTGAATTGATCTGGCATGCTCAGTTATTCTGGAAGCTTTAGCTGTCGACAGTTCTGAAGTAGGGAATGAATAATGTCTGAAACAGAAACAAAGAAAATTGGACAATCAATCAAGTGGACTTGATTTCGTCAGTGTGAACAACACTCACACGCCTAGGAAAGGAAGATAGCAAAGAATTTTATCTTTAGTGATCAGGACTCATAAATCTTTCTTCTGTTGTGCATTCAAGGCTCGCATCTTACCCTTCAAGTAGTCTGTGCTTCTATAGCCTTTACATGGTAATTCGTTCTTATAGGTTGATAACAAATGCTTCACTTTTTTTCGGATCTATTACCAGAACACTCGGTGAAAACGAAACAAACAGACGTGTAGTTAAGACTACACTGCGCTCTTCTTTCTGTTATTAGTATTATTGCTGTTTTTGTTGCTACTTCTAATGCTGTTTAACCCCAACTGAGAGAGGAAAGGTGCAGCTAATAATCACAATACTGCTGAAATGTGCTTTTTCAATGCTCTACTGTACATTGTGACGGAAATGCGATGGACGCAGGTCATTTTTCATGGAGATTTATAATGTAGATGTGACATTTCATAAACGTTTGGATACAAAACCAACCTCAAATGTACACTAGTGTGTCCTATCCGGAACCTATTCGTTTTCCACCTGAGAATGCTTTAAAATTACATGCAGTACTACACGTAGCAAAATTTTTAGGATTACCCGTATCAATAAAACGAAATTTGGTGGCAATATGCCACTTCCAATGCGCTGCATTTAATCCCCTTCTGTTCCATGATTCTCGTCGTTCACTGCAACAGTTGTCTGTTCACTCCCAGTTTGCTTCGTTTCTCCACAATCGATAGATTCTTTACTTTGTTCGGAAGTATCGTGACCGTCATCCACAAAGCGGCTATCACCAGAAATTGGACGTCCCTCGGTCAAATCTGGCTCATTATGTTCCTGTTTGGTAGGAGCTTCTTCTTGATGGTCATCCACATTCTCTTGCTCGTTAAACATGCGTAATTTATCCTGAGTGTCAGGCCAGCTGGCCGATATTGGGCGTGAGTCTTTATCCACTGGGGAAGATTGCGGATTTGTTTGCTCAAGATCACCTGTAGACGTATGGATTGAAGCAAAAGCCAAGAATAAAATATATTTATTCTAATCATGTGAGTAAACAGTGGGCACTAAATAATTAACCCCGCAATTGTGAACAAACCGGAATAAAACAGAGTATTGAATTCGATATTGGTTGCTGCTGATTAGGCGATTCGGTGTGGATACAATTATTTGCCTCAAGTAAAACCAACTTTTGGAACTCAGTTATTTAAATGACCAAGGCTCAAGTAAGACACAAATCATCAATCATTACGCAAATTGAAATAATTTCTCAAGTTGCTTTTGAATTCAGCCTCCTATACAGGTTATTTTTTTATTGCGGTCGGCACGCGATCCTAGTGTGTTTCCACTAAATAGATTAAGTGAACTATCGACATGCAAGAACTAGTTTTATTTGTAAATGATTATCTCGTAAATGAAGGGGAAAGTCAAAAGTTTGAATAAATTAGTCTTGTTTTCAAATGCAGTATTGTAATGTTCTCTACAATGCCTCATTGAAAACCTACTGTGCATCGAATGTTGAATATAACAGATGGCAGAGAGGATTTTCAAAATGGGTACCATCTTGAGATATCTTTGGCACCACAGCGATATAACGTTATCTGTAAAGGGGCGAGTGTATGCTGCAGCCGTTCGACCAGTACTGCTTTACGGTGCAGGGACTTGGCCGTTACGGCAACAGGATAAAAATAGAATATCAGTATTCAAACACCGCTGTCTACATAGTATTGCACAAATCGGGTGCGGAAACCGGACAAGCGATGCTGAGGTCGGGCGAGCAGTTTTAGTTAGTCGCAGTCGCACACCGGAACAAGTAGTCGACCTCCATAGATTACGCAGGTCGTGACATGTGCTACGCATGTCACCAGATAGGTTGCCACGGCAAGTAAAGTTTGTTGAGGCAGGCAGCGATTAGAAAAAGCCAAGGGTGTTCAAACCAAGACCTGCCATGTGGTTGTGAAAACCCTTATCAGAAGACTAGTTCACATAGGTGCCGGTAGGAGCCTATGATGGGGACCCCGACGTCAGGGTTACCGGTGGTTAGGCACACTGAGTGATACAACTGAGTGTCGCAAACAGTGGTGCTTGTGCATCTACTCGGATTTTGGCAATCACAGTCTATATGAAGTCTTCTATCTTCCGCTTGAATTTGTTCTGAACATTCCAATCATCATTTGGCTCTTTATCCAAATGGGCGGCAATGAAACCCTCGAACAGAATAGAATGAAGTGGGTTAACTTGGATGTTGTTCATTGTCATAACTAGAATATACTTCACATGCATCTGAATCAAAACTATGAATTAAGCAAATCGCGGTGCAATCATGTTTATGATCAAGAAATTTGTCCGTAATCAATTTTGAGCAGAATTCTCAGTTGAAAGGAAGTGAATATCTTTGAGGATTCAGGACTGGGCTATTTGGTTACCCAAAGCCAGGTCCGAAAGGTAGCTGGACGGGATGTGGAAACCACTGGGAGGGGGGTGGCGGGACGGTTTATTACCATTGTACTTTCCTTGAACGAGGTCACACGTTCATAGAGGCCAATATACCTCAACGCTCCATCAAACTATTGACTTATACCCAACTCGGATTCCGTTTTAAAATGTGGCTATTCACGTTCTTCCCTAAGTTTTTTTAACACACTGTTCGCTCCCTTATTGCGAAGATAATCCTCTTCGGTTCACTTTGACAAATGACCACTCAAGAACTTGCCCCATTTTCGAGTACCGGAATTCTGGTTAGCTACTGTCAAAGACATTTTATGGTCCGCGGGTAAGAGGAAGTTCACTTGCAAGAAAATGCAACATTCGAGTCTACCTACAGTGGCATGTTGAAATGACCAGTGGTGTATGCATCGAGGAATTTTTAGAAATATTCAATAACTTGTTCGCTTAAAACGCAATGTCAGGTGAACAGTTGTTTTTGATAACTCATTATTATTCCGTTACAGTTTATATGAGGGGAAAACCAAGGAATTGGGTGAAGGACAATAAAATGTGAGGAATCGTTCACCTTGTGTATGCGCGTCTGTGTGTGTTCCACCCCGCATTCTCAGATACATGCTTCATTTCATTTTCATTTATGTCAAGTTGGTCGTGTGCCCCAGTTCTGAGGAATTGGTGTTGTTGCGAAAGAAAGTATTTGTGAGCAGGGGGAGGGGTGGATTCTTGAACCCACGGGAGATGGACAGCTTGGATAAGACGCTTCTGGGCACATTGTTCTGGGGTCAACTGATCAATTCACATGGCTTCGGCTATGCCCAGGGTACGCATTCTAACATATTTTGACCGGTTAGGGGGAACCTGTTATTTTTTGTAATTCAACTTTATGCATTTTTCTTAGTGGATAAAAATAAGATGTGTGACTAGTCCGTCAGATCAGTATCTTGTACCTTCCATACGGGAGTTTTCAGAGGCATCCTTTTTTATATTTAATCCCAAACCCTGTCAATGTCTATCTACCACTTTATCTTTATCTTTTTCACTAACCAAACCAGCTACATGTTGACAAAGACACTGAACAAACTCGATACGTAGAACAGGTATAGTCACTTCTCTTTACTCAGAATCTAATGCTAAGGATAAATTAATAGGTGCTTCTGATTCTCAGGACAATACTGATATGCTAGTTCCAAAGATTATACTTTTTCTCATTCTTTCTCATTAGATATCAATAAATATCAAACGGGGAAAATATTTCAAAGTAGAGCTGCTTATCATGTATCATTTGGCAGTTTCATAAACAGTTGTTACACAGATATCCTTCAAAGCACAACGTAAGTCACGGGACTTGGAGCGACGAACCACATAAGGCGCCGCTGAGTCAGGTGTGGTATTGAACCGGACGACAGTATGGTTGCCTACCAGCAAAGTTGGGTGGTGGTATCGGGGCCCGAACCTCGAATCATAGGTTTCAGAGTACAACCGTTAGCAGCAACAAAACCACTGCGCCAATGACACCCAAAGTTCAAGGAGTTATTCAATTCGCATATTTGAGCAACAATCGATAACGGAAATCAAAGGGAAACTGTGAGATAGAACAGTCTTGCAAACAAAGCGGAAACTCCAAACATAAGGATGGTTAATCCTTAGTACTGAAGTTTGGGAATATAACGGTTTTACTATGATAATCATGACTTTTGTCATGCAATAAATAGTACCATGAAACTGTTCATTCTGTACAGACCACCAGTGCTCTTATGTTTAGGAAAACAAAGATTGTCGGTCTGCAAATGGTATAGCGCTGTTTACATATGTGTATTTAACTCTCTGAACGAAAATTTCAATGAGTCAAAGTTGATGAACTCCCACACAAACTAGAAAACAAAAACCGGCAATCAAATAGATACATGAACAAAACTGCAACAGGTTGACCAGTGTCCTGAAGAAGCACGACCAGCCATATTCGGTTGCGTGACTGTCATGGTAAATGCAGAGCAGAAATCGCGCACTTTCTACCCACCTAAGATCAATGGCGTGCGCCAACTATATCGGGTGAGAAACGTGACCTTGAGAAACATTCCTGCTTCCATTCTAATTTGGTGTTAATGAAACATCGATGGTTTCTGCTGCACGATTTTCTAACGGCACCCGTGGCGGTTCGTGCCTGAGCTAGTTACGCACTGCATTACCAGCGTTTGTTTGAACGTTGACGAATGACGATTTCGGTCCCATGCTTGAAGGATTTATTTGGAAACGAGCAAAATTGAGTTCAGCGCAAGGGAATTTGCGTGTAACACACAACAAGTAATTTAATCTCTGTGATGCTACACGTGGTATCACGACCTTCGGCGTTCACCGGAAAACAAAGGTTTGCGTAACTAAGGGCCGTCAACAGAGCAATTGTCAGTATGGCTCTTCCTTTTGTGTCGATAACTGTTCCAATTGGCAATAATCTTATGTCTTTTTGCAGTACTACAATGATGGCATTCTATTACTGATTTTATTTTAATTTAATCGAGTAAATCGTGCTACGGAGTAGAGGTACGAGCTTGCCTTGATCTCACAACCAGATTATATGACAACTGTTTCAGTTTAACCCCAACGACCGGCATTTACTCATGATTAGTAAGATTCAATCTTTCTATAAAACGCACTGAAAGGATGCTGGTTACACAGTGGACACGACAAATTGATGAACGGAGAATACATGATCAAGTGGGATCCAGTTCCAAGGAACACCGTTCTTGCGGCATTCGACTTTCACTCCGTTCAATTTATTAATTAATAAAAATGGTCAAACGATTGGTTCGTATTTGCATCCATTGTGTTGTGATTTTCTTGCAAATAGAATGTTCAACACATTGATTGTGTATGTTTGGTCTCATTACAATAACTGCCCAAGGAACCTAATCGGATAAACTGGAAGAAAACCAGCAAAAGGACCTGCATATATCATTTGGCAGTCAGGTGGCACGATGCACCTTTGCTCTAATTACCTCCACAAAGTTCAAGAAGCATATCAATCCGACTTCGAGTCAGTAAAAATCATCTGGCAAGCTGGGTCAAAACAACCCGGAGAATTTCTCTTGAATCGTCACTCTTTAGGCGACTCAAAAAATAGACCCATCGAAATGGAGCACGTTTCCAATGAAAGTGAACGATCAAATGATGCAACAAAACGTCACGTTGGGATCTGGGAACGGACCAAAACCGCAATCAAGACGGAAAAACAACCCTCTTTACCACGTTCACCACATAGCACCAGTTCAACGGCGAACAGGGTCAAACATTGTGGGAACAACGGAAGAAAATTAGTCGGTGGAGAAGAAATTATATAAGCAAAGGAGTACAAAACAGAAAATGGCCTCTTCCAAAGCACTAACGTCGTCACCTCGGCTGGTGATGAAACGCTTGCGAACAAATTGCGAAGCTCTGAAAATACACCAATTTGAAATCAGTGTATGTGTGTTTGTTTCCATTGCAGGGGAAATTTTAAATCTAAAATTAATTCTAAATCTGAATTTAAAAATTAAAAATCAGAATAACGACTTCGTGGTAGCGTTCGTTGTTTTGTGTGAAACACTATCCCATTTGTTCGCAATCACCATAGGATTAAAAATGGGAACACAAATTTGTAAGTTCTCATCCTCGCTCACCATTGCATTCCGCGGTTTTAGGCATCACAATTACCGCATAACCGGCCGGTGTTGCGGTAAGACCATCTTGGGCGTGTGTGTTCGGCTGAACTAGCTGCACGCGTTTAGATCCAATCCGGTCCGGTGAAATCGCTTGTCTGGGTGTCAGGCGACGGAGATTTTTGGGTGATGTGATTGAGGGGATCGGTCCACCAGACGGATTCTGTAATTCCGATATCGGTGTAAGGAACACATAGAAATTCGAAATTTATTGGTTCATTTTCCTGGTTATTTCATAATCATGGTTTTATAATGCAGCGTGGGCTATGCAAAAATGCTTCTTCTACACGGATAACCATGTTCTTTATATCATGAATTGTGAATACATGAATCTCTTTCCAGTAACCTCCTGATTGTAATGGATGTTTCACTGATAAACAGATGACAACGGACAAATGAACGACCACTGGAACCTTATCGGGAATACCCTTCAATATGGTACTGCTCGTCTTACAATACGTAAAAATACTAACACAGATACATGCTCAAATAAATTACTGTTCGATCTGGTACATTCTGATGACATTTTTCTGCAAAAGGAAGATCCGAGTCAGACACACGCTTTTCTGGACGGGTTGTGCGGTAGTTTAGCCATAATCGGTATGCATTTTGCACCTTCAAAAGTGTTGCTACAGGACTGATATGATTTAGCCCACAGCATCAATTTACTTGGGGTCGCTACATTTCAGCTGGCAGAAGCATCACAGATGAAGCTTCAGCATGCATGAAGAAGAAGGCCTGATTGGCATTGGACAAATTAAATTATCTCTGCCCTCGTCACGAATTCCGGCTATCTGTGAAGGGTCGCGACTATTCCGCAGCAGTGCGGTAAGTTTTGCGTTACGGGGCTTGTGCCCTACGGTAACAGGACAAAGACAGCCTGTCAGTGTTCAAATATCGCTGTCTACGACGCATTGCAAGAATCTCCTGTGACAACCGGGCAAGGAATTTCGAGACTGGACGAAGATTTTTAAGTAATCGTGATCGCTCTATGGGGAACGTGGTCAACATCCGTAGATTACATAGGTCGGGTCATTCGTTGCGCATGTCACCAGATAGGTTAACTCGGCATACGATGTTGATTGATAAAGATCAAGCGCAGCCAGATTAAGACCTGACATGAAGAAAATCGGTCGTCGGTAGGCCACGTTCGGCTCCCTGGATGAGGATATCGGGTTCACTGAATTCAATGGTTAGAGAATACGGCTTAATGTCGCAAACAAAAGTGATTGTGCATCAATTCAGCATCCTTTTAACCTTAGTTAAAACTAACTGAATACATATATTACTATTACAATAATATATGTTTTAATTTTGATTATCCTCTCAATTGAATTTCCTTAAAATATACAAACTCCTGCTTGATAGAAATAAGTCATCTATCAACTTCTGTGGTTACGATTAGTCGCACTAGTTCTTTTTGACTAGACTTCATCTTTGAATTGCCAGTAAACCCTCTTGAGGCATGTGTAAAAGCCAGAACTTTATGCCTTGCACTGCTTCTGAATCAAGTCTCAAGTGTCAAATAGAACAATTCTCCCCAATGCATCACAAAAGCTTGACATGCTGTCGAATATTTAAACATTTTGTGCATACAGCCTTTTCTCACTTATTGGAACATGGATGCTTTCTAGACTGCCTTGTTCCCCAGATTAATTTAATTTTCTCAGCAAGAAAAAAACTGTTATCACCACGTCACTCTTTTCAAAGTTGATTACTTTACTTATCAACCGTGACAGATGGTGATGATGCAAACATCTTCAGCCATCAGACTTTATCTATTGGTTATCCTTTTCTAACAAGGAACTTTATTTCGAACTACTTATCTAGTTCCTCCAGTTGGTTGAATTGGATTTGTTTGAATTGTGTGCAACTCGTTTAACAGTATGCATAGCTGCGTGTTTTACTGATTTGTTGGCTCGTGGGACAGTAGTAATAAACTGAAAGAACTGGAGAATACAAGCAGCAACGATGCCAAAATATCCACTGAGATGAGCTCATTCACCTGACAAGGAATTGCTTAGGACGATTCAACACGAACGATAGTTACCCGCTGAAAAATAAATTCAAATCCAGTTTACTGATAGGCTCTGAAATAGATTCGTTCATTGTTTTTAAAGATAAATTTTTGCCTCATTATTACTGAAAGAAGACCAATATTGATCAATAGCAATGTTTTGTTCAATCTCTTCAATCTTTGATGTAAAACAAACCGGTAAACAAAAAAACATTTATGGGACACAAGTCCCCACTAACAGAAAAGAATCCTTATATGATCTGAACAGGCACAATTATGAATCATTCGAAAACAATTGTACTCCTTCGGATTTGTGTTCTGATGTGAAAATGAGATTATTGTGAAATTTGTGACATAACAAGGAGCCCGGTGAAGTAAAGGAACTAAATAAGTTCTTCAGTTTCTCTACAGGCCTTTCCGAAATAAACAATGTGATTCAATTTATTTTCAACTTTGTGGTTCAGAATGTGTATCCTAAATGCTACTGGAAATCCTTACGCACAAATCGGATTTATCCAAACTTTGTGTGTTCAAGGATGCCACAAGATGAGCGGAATATATTCCAACGACAGATAAAATTATAAGATTATTCTAGAATTTCAAGTATGTATAGCACAATGGATTGGTCGGAAATAAACGTAGGTGTACAAAAGAGGAAAAATTACCAAGTTCTTGTAACCAGTTCCCTCGAAAATTTTCATGTTTGTACGCAGTTGATGAGATTCACGGGAAAATAATCCGATGATCGTGATTTTCCTTCTCGCCCGGAAGAAAATTATCTCTTATTATTCTGAGGCCGACTCGAAAACCTGATATCTTACTAAAAGTTCAAAATCGCTCGCACTCGACTCATACGAGCAGTTGCTGCAATAGTCGATTAAAAAATTAAATAAAGTGATCTTTCGCGCAGACATCCGCCGCTATTGTGGTTCAACCGTGAGCGGTTCTAGACTTTTAGTTTCACCAACAATAACGGATTTAAGACAATACAGTTACTACTCTTGTTATTGCAGTTTTTCCGGAATATTAGACGTTGATTGCACTATGAAATGGGTAGAAAACACTATTGTTAACATTGAAGGAAACCAGCAAACGGGAGCGGTGTGAAAGCACTGATAAGAAATTATAAATAAAGTAGATATCTGTAGGACACCAAACTAAATGCACACCATAGTTCTAAACAGTGACCACCATCGTCTTTTATTTCCAACAAAAATTTGATCTCCCCCAGCTTTTCATTCATTCATTCAATCGATCTCTGAATAGAGCTGCATCGCTACCCTCGTTCCATTCTTTCCTGTATGTGATAAGCTTTCTTTTCATCGACGAAATGAACATTATTTTTGATTTTTATTGTCCCTATGAGACTTTGCTTTGCTGTTTTTCACAAATGTAGGATCACTTCCTTTCTATTGAAGATTTTAAAGGAAATGAATGTAACCTCGAGCACATAGTAAATAGAATCATTTTAAAAGGAATGACTATCATGTTACAGGATCGAATGTATTTATTTCCAGACAACTACTGAGAGGCAAGGGCGGAAAATTGTTTTGACGAGGTATTCGTCTCATCTGCGGTCAACGTAAAACGCTGAAACTAGACAGCGCTAACATCCACAAGTTGAACCATTCATTTGACTTGTTCCTTCACTCTTCCAACCGCTAGAGACGTTTGATAAACCCAATGCTGATTCTTTTAGGGTTAAAAGATTATCTTACTGAGACTTTCAGTGCACCAAGCTAGGCAAGAATTCACCGTGTTCAAGAGTGAGTAAATCTGGAGTTCTTCAAGATGGTGTCTTTTACCCTTTATTATTCATTACTCAGTGATTCATCTGTCCTGTCACTTACCAAAAGTAATCAGTTCGCACATTACATTGTATTACAATCAGTATGATTTCCCTTCTGTATGTGTTGTGCCTTGCCAAGAAGTATGATCCATATGAGCGCTTCTTGACTGTCCCCAAACAATTAGAGTGAGAACACGGCTGAGAAACGACAGTCAGAGAGTATTATTAATCATGAACCAAAATGTGCGGAATATCTTCATCCAGAATGGATAACCGGAGCGCCTGGTGGAATCTGTGATGCAACGGCAGGAGGCGTTTCCCAAGAGGTTAATTGCTGAGAAGAAGTCAGTATACATTTCTTTACGATCTAAAGGTGACATCTTGGCAGAGATTGTGCATGGAAGGTTATCAAATGCCATGCAAAACGTTCTACGCAGCTAAGCTTCACACCCAATTCACATCTAGCCTGCTGATGTATCTACGGTTGATGGATAGAGTGCTCGGTTCTGCTGCCTCTTTCTGCATTTACTCTTTCACTTGTTCCTGTGGAGCAAAGTATGTTGACCGCACGATCCGGCGTCTGTCCAACCGCATCCATAAGCATCATCCTGCGTGATTGCGATGTGGAGCAATTAAGTTAATCATAGGTGCGGTCGTGTCGCACCTTGTCAACACTAATCACATTGTAAACGTGACCGAAGCGTTCCGAACACTGTATAGAGTTAAGACGTCCCGTCTTAACGGTCTATAGACAGGTGCGGTTTTGCATTCTAGCCACAAGGGGTGCAGTTTCCATCCGTCTTCACAACCCCCCTCTGTGCGCTCAGAAACAGTTTTGCAAGCACTCACGCTCCCAACGCCGGATTTCCGACTAGTGACCTGTCATGAAACATCGGAGCAAGTGATAATTGGAGACCAATTATGAAACCAATTCTTGAATACGTTAATTACTTTCTCTATCTTTTTTCCTTGTAAATCCTTCTCTTATACTAGTCACATTCATTGTGTTGTAATGGCCTGATTAAGACACGCTGAAAACGAGCTTGTTTACCAATTTGTGTTCTTATCATGAAGCAATAAGCAAATATGTGGCAAATTAGGCCTACGAGAATCGACACGATGGTGCACCAATCAGGTTGCGACTTTGATACTCCGATAGGTTGATCGAACGCAGCTGTCTGATTCGCCTTAGTCATGCAATCCGGAATCTATTCGGCTTCGGCGTCACGAACCCACTTCCGGTGTGACGCTGGTAGATACATGGCCGGGCGGATTCTGTGCGCTCCGTCCTAACAATATGATAATTTTACTATCATTCAGAATTTTCCTCTCCAATCAGGCCATTATTTCAATTTATCTAATTGTTGTGAGCGTGTCTTCGCTTGTTCGAGAATCTCCAGCCACGGTGTGCCTAGTGACGGTTCACTGGTTTGTGAAGGTGGATACCGTCACGTACCATGGCACGATGGGAAATGATTTTAGACCCACATACATCCAAACTACCACTTTCCACAGACTCAGATGTTTTGCAGCATGAGACCATTTACTGTCAAACAGTCTGTTATGTATTCCTTTGTTTATCTTTGTGCATCCGTCATTACTCTTTATTGCTCCCCAACCATGTTCCCCGGTTTAGTTAAAACGATGCAGCTGCTCCCTCAATAGCCGTGTTTCAATTGATCTTACGGACGCTCTTGCTACCAAACTTTGCGACCTCCGTATTGATTTATGAATATTTTGCTCAAAACCCTTCGCTAAGCGCAAACCTTCCGTATTCCATTTTTTTCTGAAGGTAGTTGTCATCCTTCCAGCAGGTTCAGTTTTCTACTTACGCTTGGGAAAAGTACCAGTAAAAAATCTTCTATTTCATATTTGGAGCGTATTCTTATTGTCAACAGAGTTGAGAATGAACAATCCCTATGGTTGAATGAAATCCCAGTCGGTTTCCCATTGTGATAATTATCTGCAAATATTGAGGCAGGATAGGATTCACAAATTATTTCCAATGAAGGTTAAGGAACACATGCTCGATCGGTCAGATGAACCGTATGCAACAAAGGTACATGACGCTCGCCCAGTTAACACAACACTCAATCCGCGTCTTAACAGTGATCAATGAAACTCGACTTCGCACAGCTGGAGTGCCATCATCATATAGCTGGACACCAGGTATCAAAAGGAGTATCACAAAAATTAGCGATACATGATCATTGTGCAGTGTTCGGTTGAGGGATTACAATTAGCTCGAATTGACAAAAAAATAATCCAATTAAACAGCAAAGAGGGTCTGAGCAGAATTCAGGTCTGACGCACTTGGGATACAAGTTAAGTTCGTATTGTCTTTGAGCATACCCAGTGATCGTTAGCAGAGATTGTTACTGCCGTTCCACTTTGTATCGTATCAGGTTAGATTAGTTCAGCTCAACGTTTGCGGGATGGAATCGGTACAACTCTAGCACACATTGTGGAAGTTGCAACACAAAACTTGACGACAGTGATCACGACCTCCCCATAATTGGCAATTCATCACGACTTTCAAGGTACCCGTTTTGGCATATATATATATATATATATATATATATTTGATAATAATTAATATGTGAATGACTGGACATATTACTTATTATCAAATATTCTACCAAGGCCATCAGGTCACGTTTGTTGCGGTTAGTAGCATCTAACCCACTTACAAAACATCGAATCATAGCACTGATTCTTCATTGGACTAGCTCTAAAAGAGCTGTCTATCCAATGGTCACCCGGCGTTGCAAACAAGGTTATTGTGACGAATATATATATATTCATCACGGAATTGTAGATAAACTAGGTGCCAACACAACACAAGTCTAACAGAAAATGGGGTAGTTCGGACCCAAAGCAGTGTAAAGAGTATCAGATAGTCAAATTGGAAAACGAGAAGAACACTTTGTTTATTTGTTTCATCGGACACTTTTGACATATTTTGTGAGTTTATCGAATCCTATGTTTACCCTGTTTTGTCAGTCAAGGAACAACGGATTAAAATGTTATAAAATAACGGTACGAAACCACGAATACATGTGAACTACACATGCATGAGAAATTGACAAATGCATAAGCATTATTTTTGCATTTTCCCGTACCAGATAGATTAATTTAACTTACGTAATCTTTGTTTACGGTTGTCATATCCTAATGACGGGTCATAGTCTGACCGCTAGTGCTCTCCTTCCATTCACTGTCTGCATTGCCCAACATTTAACAAACCACGGATTGCTATTGAGTGACACACGTATCACATGTCACTTGCACAACAATTCATGGAGGTCAGGTAATTACATCAGCATTTGGCACTGAATCATACAATTCTATACCTAGCCGTTGCAATGATGATTGGACTGTCCCATCAGACTAGTGAACTACACTACAGACAGAGGTACTTGCGCACTGTCGGAACGCGCTTGTCTTCTGTTCGTAAAAGTATACCCATATCTCATATAGAAGCATCGGTCAGTTTGCTAGACACCTTGATGTCTTCGTGGCATCAAAAGTGCAGCTGCCTGCAGAATAAATTTTCTCTCTCATGCATATTACCTCTTCCTTTAGAATACACTGCCAAAGGGGAAAAGTTCATGCCAAAGTAACCATTTAGCCTGTTTTTGCATCTTCTCAGTTCCCTTGCAACATTAGTGCACTGAACTTCTCAATTTTCTCTTCAACCCTACTTTCAGCCTTCCTGTTTCTCTCATATTGTTCAGCCAAGTGATCAGCCAAAAGATAGTAATCAAAAGCGACGCTTTTTCAAACTTTAACTGAAGCTGATACTCGCAAGAAGCTAGCATAGATGGGTAGTGCTATATCGTGTAAGTTCAAAAACAATAACGGTCTGTCCGGTGGCCGAGTGAGTAGTATGTTTTCTTTATACCCGTGATATCCCGGGTTCAATTCCCAGTTGGGTAAATGGATTCACACTGCTGATCAGCCCCAACCAAGTATTCTAATTGCCAAATGATCTGCGGGCTTGAACTCGGTTTAGAAATTGTTGTTGGTGTTGCTGCCGTTCCATTGCATTGCATGAGTGAATTCAGTCTAGACCGTCAATAACCTAAGTGCATTTTTGTCCAATTGCCAGCAATGTCACACTATTTCAATCGCAGTTGTTTCGTGAAAGAAATATTTTGCCGTTTGGCAAAGTTTTCGTTTTCATTATTGGGTGAAACCTAAGTTGTTGAATCTATGCGAGTGACAGGGAAGAGGAACACGACCTGCAAGTACCGCACCGAATGAGTTGTTGGACGACAATAACGCATATATCGATCGATGTCTTATTGGAGCCACTTGAGGTGTATCTTGTGAGTCCGTTTGCAACCTCACGTGATGGGCATAAACCATGGCTACACGTCGATTGCGCTTAATCCATCGGTGGAATCCAGTATGAATCCCGGGGTGCGGGGGGGGGCAGGGGATGAGGGAGACAAACATACACATAGAGAGAGATGCGGACGAGTAATAGCAAAGTGTATAACCAAAATATGGTATGGGAATCAGGTCGCGTGTGACCGAGGCACGNCACAGCTGTCTCTCTAAGCATCAGCGTGATGTTGAAATATCTGCCTGCGCTGATGAGGAAAACTGGGCAACTTGAACTGGTGGTGAGAGAGCTTGAAAGAATGCTGAGACTACTGGAGATCATATATAGATATCTTAATGGAAGTATTGATGTGATACTCGGACAACTGGGATTCCAAAAGGTCTGGCAACTGGCAGTAGTCATACGAAATAGCTTCCTCAAGCATTAAGACACGTAAACCATCAAATCACGTAGAGATGCTGTACTGTTATGATAGTCTTCAATAGTGTGGAATGAGTAGCGATCCAAGCGATAAATATTAGAACGTATTTGTATCCACTGATCATAGAGTTGAACCCTCGGTCAACGATCAATGTGAAGAATAGAGCTAAATTATTGGAATATATCCTCAGGAAAAAGAGATTTCATGAAAAATAAGGCACGGAGAGATAAACGGACGACGATCGGTTACTATCAGACCACATATAATGTAATGAGTAACAGGGACTAAACTGTGTCATACTGACCTGTTGCCACCCGGATAGTACAGGACGTGAGGCCGGCAAATGCGGTAGTTTGATCGAATCCGTAAATTCCCCATTTGCACTGCGAACTGGTGACTGGGACGAAGCACGCGGTTCACCGTTGCAAGTCAAACTGTCCGGGGCGATTAGTCGACCACGATAAATATGACCATCGTGACCTTCAATGTTCACCTCACCCCTGTGAACCAGGCAAAATTGGGAATAAGAGCAGTAAGCGAAAACGTAAAGAATCAAAGTTTGTGAGTGTCCTCACAGTGAGCTGAAACAAAAGACTATCCCTGATCCTGTCAATGCGGCGTTCTTTTCCACTATTGATAGAAGCAAAACGTTGAGTTTTCGTTCGTTCTTGTTGCACAGCGAACGTATATTAAACATGGCTTGCAATATCTGTCTCAAACGCTAATTAAATACCAAGGACTGTTACAATTTTTGCTGGAAGATAAAATTAACAATCGTTTACGCTGGCTCTGCCGCCTTGGTGTTCAGCTGAATTGATTCCGCTTAGACTTCTGATCAGGCAGTTATGTAAAACTCTCTGAAGTCGAAGTTGCAGTCAAGCANTTTGGGGCTTCTTTAAATCTTGCTTCACTCACTTTGCTGAGGCTTCTTTTTTGATGAAGGATTTAGGGCGAAAGGGATCAGTGTCGCGGGCGAATTCTTATAGTTTGTCTGTGCCATTTTCCCTGATGGATGCTTCATTCAAGATGCGGAAATCATAAGCAGCTAAACTTTAATCGGTTGGGGGGATGACAGGTTGCGACGGTACGGATCGATGAGCAATTTGCTGTACCTTGAACTATGTGCGCCAGTGCTCGCATTGCCCATTTATAAAATCCACATAGCTTTTAATTGCGCACTGTCGCGAAGATACTGCCTCGCACGCTTTGCTGCGCCTTATCCTAACTCCGGTTTGATACGCTGGCAATGAAATTTCGAGAGGGATGAATGGAGAAGGGGATGATCTCTCATATCTAGACACTAAAGATCTGACTAAAACCGTCTTGCGACAAGACGATCCGTCGAATCCGATTAAAAATCATCAGTAGTAGATCAGTAAATCCTGAGGGTTAACGACATTAATTAGAATGCATATTTTGTGAAAGAATGCGTGTTTTCCTTTCTATTACCAGATGAAGGCAAAAAGTGGACTAGGTTGCATGAAGTCGACGGGATTTCAGATTTAACTCTATTCTGATCACAGATGTAGAAAATATCTTATTATCACGTTGCCGAAACAGAACCAGACGCTCAAATTTTGCTGTCCAATTGAAATAATTTTTTTTATTTTTAAACCTTTCATAGTTCTGAGAAAGTCAACTTTTCGAAAAAAATACAAAGGGTCAACTACGAACTACTCATTCAGACCTTTTTAACAGTTATTTGTTCAAACTAACAATAAATTTTGTAGCATGGTATGTCCTC